TAATTAAAAGATATTAGATACGCACAAATTCATGATTGATAGTATATGTGACAATATTTATTTTGACAGTCCAATAGAAAACGACGTTAAAAGTTTGCATTATTTAGAGATGCAAATACGTACATCGAGCATAGCTCGTTCTCGAAGACAAGACTGAATTTCATATATAACCATGGCCAGTGCCTGCTATGCTGCAGACAAAACGCATAATCGTCTGCATACGTCTGGTTTACATCCAACAGTCGCAATTGGAAATCAGATTTCCTGAATGTCACTATATTTAGTGCGGTATAATCTCTACTCTCTAAATCTAAATCAGTGGATAGTCACTAATTATCCAGTGGCATACTTGGAACTGATAATCAGTGAAGTTCAACTAAAAAAGGAAGAATATTTGAGCATTAATAACTAAAATACTGATATTTGCATATTAATTTCAATCTTTCAATACCATATTCGTTGAATTTAAGCACTAAAATAAGGTTAGTTAGAACACATAATAAAGATTAGCTAGATTAGGGATTTCATATTTAATTCATTGATTATCAGTGGCATACTTGGCACTGATATCAGTTATTATCCACTGATTCAGATTTAGAGAGTACAAGCGTTATCCATATCACACTACGTTTCGTCGCTTGTCGCACTGCGAACGATGTAATATGCCGGTATCACACTAGTGGTCAGAGATTGCGTCTGCATTTGCGTTTCTTGACCAATCGAAAAGAATCTGCTAGTCAGCAGTTTCCGATCACATTCCAACTGAACTTAGCAAGATAAAATCAATATTCCTAAAAGATTCAATAAAATTGATAAACCTAAGAACTTAACAATTTTTAGATTTTGTACAATAATAAAAGTTATAAAAATAGTTACAAAAAGATTGTTTTATAACTATACTTATAATTTTTGTTATTGTATAAAATTTATTAAAAATTTTTAAGTTCTCAGATTTATTAATTTTATTGAATTTTTTGAGAATGTTGATTTTATCTTGCTAAGTTCGGTTGGAATGTGATCGGAATCGAACGAAGCTATTCTGGATCTGTAAAGTTAGCACGACATTCTATCAATATAAAAAAATAATGAGTTCCAGTAGCACTTTTTACAGTTATATAGTTATACATAAAAATAAAAAAGTTCCGCATTTTTTATATTAAAAAGCAAATATGAAAATATGGCGTGCTATAACTTCGTGAATCTCCCACTTTTTCCTCTAAAGTACAAAAAACCGATAAATTACTACTTTTGACAACAGTTTTTGTTAGTTCTTCTAGAGATTTACTATTAATAATATATGCATTTTGAAAACAAAATTCCAACAATTATCAATTTTTATCCTTTTTAAATATAGAAGACAGGATGACACTTGGAGAAAAAGTGTCGTATAATACTGATTGCTTATAGCAGTTTTAGCGACAGTTCTTGTTAGTTTTAGCAGAATTCTCTATGCTTTACAATTCGGCCATTATCAATTTTTCAATGAAATTAGATGCATAGTTCATTATTTACTGTTTTATAATGTCGACATAATTTTTATCTTTATGAACTGTTTTAATCGAGCACTTTTATAATAAGACGAATTTTCTAAATTTAAACATATTTTTCAATATATTCTTTATATGTAAAAGGAAAGCTTGTATACGGACAAAAAGGATGATCGTAAATAGGCAGTATATTTCTGATGTTCTCTTCAATGTATGAAAATTGAATCGGTAGAAAAGAGACCTTTTCATCTTTCCTGTCACGCAAGTAAGTTATATCGCAATACGATAAGCTTTCCCAGAGAGTTCCATGTTTTCGATCTCTAACGCATATTTCATCTTTCGAAGAAACTTTTATGCCAAAAAATATTTAGCATATTTTAATATAATTCGTCTTTGTAAATGTATATATATGTGTGCGTGTATGCGCACACATCATTATTTTCAGTGTAAAATGCTCTTTAATTTTCGACATATAAAAATTAAAATATTTTTGAAAATAAGTACGGAGGTATACAATAAATAAATAATAAAAAGAAAAATTTTTTTTATTATAATTATAAAGTACTCTTGAAGTCATTCAATTTTCATTCTGGAAAATTTTTTCTATCTCTTATAGTTTCGAAGATATTCGCTTCGAAAGAAAAAGACCGATTTTTTTCAAGGAAGATTCCCATCCCTTTAAGGTGTAACTTAGCTGATATAAAAAAATACGTATCTCCTATTTTTGTCCATAGAACAACATACTAAAAGTTCATTTAAATCGGAGGGGGACAGTTGGTTGTGTTCCCTTGTTAGAATATTTCAGAATTCACATATCCGATTAATGTAAGTTGCTTTTTCTACAGAACGCATCCATCCTTAAATTATTTCGCTTACCTACTTTGTCCAGGAAAAATATTTGAGAGAAACAACTGTTTTAAAATTAATATATTATAAAGTGTCATACTAATAAGTGATTTACTTAGAATTTAAATGACTTGTAAAATTAATGTGTTAACAATTTTTAAACAAAACGCATTGTGAAGAAAAATTAAAGTCACAAATTGAAAACGCAGTTTATATTATTTATTATTAAAGAATTATTTATAGATACACATACAAATGAAAATTTAGATGTTAAAAAGTTCATACAAATATCTGTTATATTTTTATTTAAAAAATGATACTAAAAAATTTTCTTATTTTATTCAATTTAAATATATATAATTTTACTCAAAAAAATATATGAAATCTCTAAGTTGTGTCAACTACAAACATAATACATATTTTCTTCAAACATTTTCGTACTATTTCTTTTAAAAAATAAAATCAGAGTGCGAAAAACTATATTCTGGATCTATTACAAACCTTTATTTCTTAAAAATAAAATCTAAATGATACGTATCTTCTTATTCTCACTTAAAGGTCTTTCTATTTCAAGATATATATTTTTACATTCCAACTCAGTAAATTACAAAAAGTCAAAAAGTAAAAGTATAATTGAAAAAATTTATTTCCAGTAAACATTTTTTACAGTAAGAAAACTTACTGCTGCAGTACGGTTAATTAGAATAGGTTTGGAATAAAAATTTATTTTTTTCTTCAAGGAGCACATACAATTGCATACACTTGATGCCTTTCTTTTACCTTTTTGTAGAAAAAGTAATTTTGGTGTAACGTTTATACGTGTGACTGAAATGAAAATCTGAAATGGTTCCTTTTCGGGACTTGATCTCCAAATCTCGGTATCGATTGTATCAATTTTATTCGGATTGGTCGCAATCGAAAGATCGCGTTGGTATTATATAATAAAAGTATTGTAAGATTTTTTATTGCTGTTTTAGTTTCTGAGTAATTTTAATCAAAAGTTTATCGATGTGAAAACTTTAGAAGAAGCATGTGTATCTAGTGGTAACGCGAATTTGATAGTGGCACGAACACATACAAAATAACGTACATGTATCAAGTAGCGGTCCGTTTCATATTTTTATGCACTCTTGGCGATGCTACCGTGTCGTTTGATAACACTTTTATTTTGAAAATTACTTCCAGCCAATGTTATAAATACGTTGACTAAGAGCTACATGTAATATAGTAAATAATTAAGTTATAACAAATTAAATGGTAACAAAAAATAAATTTGTATAGTATTTTTAATTTATTACATTTTGAATATTTCTATCGATAAGAAAAATGTAAAGAATTGTAAATAAACTATTTTAAATAGCGATGCAATACGTGTGACTGACAGTGTTGCGAACAATGTCTGTTTGATTAATTGCAAGTTTCCAAATATAATTGTATATGTAATTATGTTTGGGTTCAGATTCGACAGATTTACTACGTGAGAGAAATGGAAACACATTATTATGTCGTGCAATAATTCCATTTTAACTGCTGAGTTATACTATTTTATTAATTTTGATTTTGTTTTACTAAGAAATAAAGGCGGCTTAATTTCGCTAAATATATTTTTTAATTTCATGTGAATTTTATATATATATATTTTTATAATACTCTGCTTTTTTATTTTGTTCTTTTTGTCTCATTTTCTGAGTTGTCATGTTTAAAAATGAATGTCCGCTGTTAAATTATTATTGCATATTATATTTGATTTAATATCATTTTTGAGAGAGAGCAACAAAAAATAACTAGTTTTTTAAATGTTTGACAACGGGACTTGCTTTTGCGAACTTTAATATGAATGCTTATGTTTTTTTTTTACTTCCATTAAATTTCTCGTGATAAATGATATTCGACGTTTAGAAACACTTCAACTTATGATTAGCATAATGGGACCATTAGTAACTTGTATGCGATCGATCGGCTATGAGACTAATTCGCGGACTATAGACAGGAGCTACCGATCGATAGCTGCTCTGCTGCCGCGGTTTTACTGCAGCGATACACTTTGTAACATTAAATTTGTTAAATTAATTACGGTAATATACATTTGATTCGTGATGCAGCATTTGCGATGTTGCGTTACAATGACCATTAATGCAAAATGATAATAGATGTGTTAATTACGTTTTGTGTCTTGAAAGCCTATTGGCATCAAAGTAAAACATATAAAACGTTTAAAATATGAAATTTGAATATGTATTGTAAAACATTTGAGATTTGTCAAAATCTTAAAATTTCATCATTTATTTTTTTAGATTTATATGAGACTTATAATTAAATATACGAATTTCAATAACATTTTATTTATGTATAAGTAATAAAAAAAAGTAATAAAAAAAATTTCTGCAGATATATGTTCTGAATATATGTACCTGTATATTTCTACACGTTATTCGTGGATATTCACTCTGTGATATCTAGATTTTTGTCTCTGCGTAATCTTTCATCATCTTATATATACTTGGATAGGGTCATAAATCACAGATGGAAACAGATTAAAAAATAATTAACTATTCGGAATATTATTATAAAATAAATATAGTGTGTGTTTACATAATACGGTCCTAATAAATCGTTTATTATTGTTTATATGTTGTTGTTTTATTATTCTCATTTTTGAAATTGCAGTTGCATCTCCGCCGGATAGACGAGTTACAAGAGACGATATTGGGGTAGCCCCGGCTGGTGTAGCGGTGAACAACGCAGCTGCTACTAGCTGCAGCAGTGTAAGCGGTGCGACATCTTCAAAATCGCGCAATCCTTCCTCTTCTCCCGGTCGAAATGGCCAACTATCCAGTAAGTTTTCGAGGTATTACCCCCCGAGATGGCCAAGATATGCTTTGACAGTTAGATTTTATTTACTTGCACGCCCACAAACATATTTCTATATCTGTGTATTAGTTACCGCGCGATTGTATCCGTAAATATATCCATACACATTTCTTCTAAAAACAAAATCTTTTTTTCAACCTACTACAAAGTTCTTCGATAATCGCGTTGTTATAGAAAGTTGTACATATGTAAACTATTTGATAGAATGATCATATGTAAACGTTTCTCTCGAAAACGTCCTTTCGAATAAATCCCGACTTTTTTTGAACATCTTGTATATGTGTATATATTATATTATTATACAGTTAAGATAATCAATTATATATAGAACTTTGGTAAACTTTTTCCTGTTTTATTTTTTAAAATAGTCCGAGTCACTTTCTACAATATGTTGGATTTTTTAAGATTTTTTTTATGATTCAATATATCCTTCCACATTCTATTGCATTAATAGAAGCGATTGTGGTTATTTTATTTCAGAACAGGGCACCTTGACGATAGTACGTCGAAGTTCCAGCAAAAGCAAAAGCAGTGGGAATTTCGAAAGTTCACCACCGCACAATCCTGATACTTCGTATCTATCGAGCCAATCCGTCGATCTTGAAGAGATTCTCGATAACGTCGATCTCACGACAGATTCGCTTCCAGCCGTTGACACACCCGATGCATGCGATAAAGCTGCCCTTAGGTATTTTCTATTATAATTCAAATGTAATGTTATGCTAATGTTAATAGTTTTGCTAATGTATAATATTTTAGATCTAGGGGTAGAGGTTTATTAATTTTGGATATAGATAACCCGCAATTTTCTGGTCATTAACTCATAGCATATTTGGAGACATGGTAGTGGCGCTAAGACAAGCGAAGCGACTTATAGCGCGAGACACTACCGTCCTCCTTTACGCGATTGTAATTTATATAACATTTTGTATTGAATTAAATAATCATTATTGGAGCACATTTTTACAATATTCGAGCGCTAATATATCGTAATTATTAGCAATTATAATTTATAAATTATTTAAATAATATGATAACTATTTATCACCTTGTTAAATTTAGCAATCAGTATAATTTTAATTATCAATTGTATATGTGTTAATTATGACTTTTTTTTAAGATATATTTGTAACATTTTGTAACTATCGCGCGCTAAATATTTTGTATTTAATGTAAGATTAGAATTCTACGTAGGAAAGGTATAAGGAAAATATTCCTTTGATTCCTCCTCTAAGGGTTAAATAGACTTAATTGCATTCGTAATCCCGATTTGTCGTGTAATTATTGGAAAGCGATTGGAAATAAACGTCTAATTTAAAAGACACGCTATTGACGCACAGGAAACGACTCCGTGATATTTCTCTTTTGCAGATTGAGGTGTTTATTGAGGCAATTACAACATGGGGAGATATCCGCCGATTTACTTCAACGAAACTTGCACTACGCAGCTCGCGTACTCGAAGCTGTCTTTATCGATGAGACCAAGTAAGTTTCTTTTCGAGTGAGAATTTCAAACCTCTCATGTACGAATGGAAAGCAATAGTCTCTGTACTAATCATAATCTATAACTATTTCAAGTATTCCTGCTTTTTTGCCAAAATTTGCAGGCACTGACGGTATTCTATATAATAATCTCACTATCCTAAATCTTGCGGTTAATAATAAATCTCTTTTGTAGACAACATTGTTCATACCATAGTTGTTGAATATCTGACAAAAACAAGATTAATAATATAATATATTATCATATTAAATAATATAATTTATTAATGCGGTAGCATTTGGATGTCGATCATACATGAATGAATATGTATAGTCAACTGTTTTTGCATTTTACGTGATTAGTAATTGTTGATCGATTCGATTGTTTCACAAAACATGATGTTTGCAGCGAAGTTGACTATATTGATTATCGGTCTATTTTATTATTTACTATGGAGTCATGACCTTTAACACGACATTATTCCTTCCCATTTGCTAGGTACAACTGAAATTCAATGTTTCATGTCGATTTCGTAATAAGAACATTGAGAACTTTTCGTTTTTGCGATGCGTCGTGTCGGATAAAACTCACAACCTCTGTTCAATTATTGAACGACCAAAAATTCAGCTAACCATGAAAGACAAAGGCTATTTCCCCGTAAGGGATCAATCGTATAAGGCGTATAAGCGATAAACCTTCGAATGCGACGTTAGAGGGTTGATGTGTTTTCTAGCTTTGACAAAGCGCACGTAACATTACCTACAACGATCCATCAGGATTCTTCCTCGGATCTCTACAGGATCCTGTAAAGGATTCGCCTGAGAGAAATTGACATCGACGCCTCTTTAGCTCATGTGATAGATCACTGATCTCGTAAATCAGAGGTTGTGAGTTCAATCCTCACAAGTGAATTTTGGCTTCTAGTATAGTTTTATGTGTTATTACAGCTCGTTTTATGCATTTCATAGAGTCTGAATTAAGCGCACTGAACCCACTACTTCTGATGATTTGTCATTTTGACCTCTTACGTTATTTATACGGCTGAATCGCATGATTTTAAAATTTCTACAAATTTCCATGCCTAATAATTTCAATCAAGACGTGCGTTTTTATGCCTAAAATCATATTTGTTTAAATGAACACAAAGTTTTTATATAATTTTTCTAACATTGCTTGAAAAATTTCTATCTATGATATATTATTTGTTTTAAGCGTCGCTCATTGTATAGTAAGCGTCATTGATGCCTTCCAGCTTGAAATTGATAGTTTCCTCCGATCGAACATCATATCCATACACCGTTAAAAAAAAAGAAATTTGCTTCCATTACACATAACGGAAGCAAATTTCTTTTTTTTTTAACGGGGTATAGATATGATGTGTACGATCGGAGAAAACTATCAATTTCAAGCTGGAAGGCATCAATGACACCTACTGTACAAGATATGTGCGATATATACATACATCAAATGCGTGATACTACTTGCATCTTTATATACATCTCTCCGTCCAGAAGATTATGAAGAAGATTCGAGTCGAAGATTTCGAAATTGAAGCTAAATGCTTGATCTCTCTCTCTCTTTTCTAATTTTTTGCTCACACAATTGCAACAAATCGTGTATATATAACGGAAATGTGATTAGCTCTCTTATATATCCCGCATATCCTTTATTTTCAGCAACGGTACTATGCAGCCATGAAGCACGACGCATCGAGTAATATCTTATTTTATTTTAACTAGCTTTATTGCAACATATTCCTACTAGATTTATTGCAACGTCAAAGACAAGAATCGTCGATGAGAACGCAGCAGTGCGATGCCGTAGCCGTAATATTAAAAAAAAAAAAAAACACAAGAAATGAAAAGAGAAAAAGAAAGTAAAAAAAATTCAAACACTGTAATTTTGTATTATTCTAATCTTTTTTACACATGAACTAACAAGCACTACCGCAGGGTGAGTTCAGGCGGGAATGAGTGCGCTCGGTCATCACGTAGGGGGGCGGGCCTGACGTCTTCATCCCTAGGGGGCGGCTTGGACCCAGATGGACCACAGGGCCACGCGGTGGTAACCCAGAAACGGAAGCTTCGCACCCCCGTATGGGCAAGGTTGCGAAACATTCACATTTCCAACCCCCTTTACGATCCATGTTCGATTCCATACAATACGATCCTCTGATTCTTCTTCGTTTTCTATTTGCCCTATTTGTCGATTTTCCCACAGTCCGCACCGTATCCGTGCCGCTCTTTGTCGTCCTCTTTTTCGAACGATAGATTTATGCTCGCGTTTGTCTTAAGAAGCTAGATGTTCTCTCTCTCGAGGACAAACGTTGGTAATCACGGCGGCGAGCGACAATCATGAATTTCGTCTATGTAATATAGAGATATTTGAGATAATTATCCTATAATATTTATAACATTTAAAATCAACGAATAACATAAGTGGCAAATTTTTAAATACTTTTTGTATATTTGAAACGTTATTTTTAGCATCTAATGGATATTTTGTTTCCTTTAATCATTTAAAGCAGCGATATGGATCATTAGCAATATAAATGATAATTAATTAATACAAATTTTATTACAAGCGTAAATAAAATTATACGATTCTGTTTCTATTATTATTACAAGTGATATTTTTAAGTAATTTTAAAATATTTGCAGATATCAAAGATTATTTAGTTAGATATCAAAATGCTGCAGTTAATACTGAATATTGATAGCAGATAAGAATTGTTAAACTTGGAAAAACGAACAATTTATTATAATTCAGTAATTAAATTTTTTGTTACTATAATCTACAGTGAATAGATCATAAAACTTTGAGGATATATCAGAGAACTGAAGCAAAAACAAGTTCGATACATACATATTTCATTATTCAATATAATAAAAATCTTCTATATTTGTTATTTCCAATATTTTATTTTACATGACATTTAATATTTTATATAACATTTTATTTGCTCTTTATCGATCGTTCTCAGTATTCAGTTAACCGCTGAATGTCAATCTGCCAATATTCATCACTGGCTTGAATTTTGTGTACGCGATTGACAACTAATCAGTGTCATGGAGAAGTGGCGACGATATTTTCAAGATATTACATTTCGAGCTATATCTTTTCTTCGGGCTAAATCAAATAAAAAAATATAAATAAAATTATAATAATTGATAGACTTTGGTATATTAAACAAATTGTTCTAACAAGTTATATAAAAACAACAATCTTATCTTGCATTTTCTTTTTTACGCCGATATTTTAAGATATTTTTTTGTGAAGAATTCAAGATGTCGCTCTCCTCTGTAAAAATGTCGATTATACTAGAGCACTAACAATAAGTGGAACGTGTTAACGTTTCTTGATCTTTTAATGAATAGTTTTTTCGAACGTTTCTAGATTAGTTGATGTTAGCACAAAAATTGAAACACATAATAGCCATGCGTTAGTTCTTTAATAAGCTTCTAATCCAAGAACTTATTATTAATTTAATTATTTTATATCTGGTAGTCTCTCACAAAATAAAATTCGCATGTTTATATAAATTGTTGTAAGTAGACGATTCTCTTAGACAATATTATTAAAGATTACATAAACACTCGTTAATTTTTTAGGATTATCGACATATATTATTACAGTATTGTTAATATTTAATCAAAGAATGTTGCATATGTTACATATGAATAAATAGAGACAATTATACTTAATTGTTTTGCATTTTTACCATGAAAGTATTTACTATGAAAACATTTGTTTCGCAATATGTAACGAATAATTGGATACATTACAACAAGAAACATTAATCCTATAACCATAGTTATCGAATTACATTTATCAATTTATTTATTTTTATTTCTGCATCTCATACACGATCGTTGAGTCTTGCTAAGAGGCTAAATCGATAAGGATTGATCGACTATGAGGATTAAATGACATTTTTGAGCACAGCATGGAAATGTTTTTCTTGTCTTTTCTCTCTCTCTCTCTCTCTCTCTCTCTGTCTCTAGTTTACGTCTTTTCTAGATTCCTTCTAGGTGTAACCTGCTCAATTTGTCGGACGTATCTGCCTGCCGTGCAACATGCATCGTTCTCACGATAATCGACCGTTTCCTACTAGCACTATTCTTGCCTGAGAAAAGTGCATGTATACATATATGTAGGACGTTTATCGCCGGGCGGTACTCAAGCATCCCCTATAAATTTATCGCGTCGTGTGGTGTTTGTGTATATGTGGATATATATAACTGTGCATATAAAAGAATCGAAAAAGCTGCGAGAATGATTACAAGGATGGCTACCTCGAAATGATCTTCAGCTAGAGAAACGTTACTGAAGAGCGAGCAAAAAAAGAAGGAATATTTTCAAATCATCCGACGCGCTGCTGGCATGCAGGGATGTTTGCTTGGATGTAGCAAGGTGTTTAGATCAATGTGAAACCTTTTAATGTGATACATGTTTTTCCTTCGTATTTCATATTATAGAGATGCCGAGCGTATGGAATCAACCGTTACGTGTCGTCCAGGTATACATCGTAGGTTCGTTTCTCCTAAAATTTCCATTTTTGAGCGCGAGTTACAAAAATGCGTAGGAGGGTACAATTTTTGCATTTTGCATTTTGAGCTTGGCGCCATCAAGCTCTTTTTGCATGAAAAATCACTCGCTTGCGTAAACTCTAACTCTCACTATATATAACGATGCTTTCTTTGTATATGTATATATATGTACTACATAGGTGTTCCAGACACCTATATTCTTTCATGTTATTAATATTATTACAGGATAGGCTAGGATGATTTTTTGATGATCAGTAACAGAGTATTGAAGTAGAGCAGAGTTTTTAACATTGAAAATTTAAAATTCTTATTAATTAAGCATTTCTAAAATTTAATAAATAAGAGAGATATTACATCGCAATGTTTTAAGTTTAACGCAGATTTACTCGATTAAATTTAAGATTTTATATATTCAAGATTTAAATATATGTATATATATTTAGATATATTTAAATATGTATTACTATATTACAGATAATTTTTAATACATTAAAAATGACTAATGTACATTTTCCGCAAAGTAATGTATATGTATTAAGGGAAAATTCATTTGAAAGTTATGAAATTTATGAATAGAAAAACTTATTTGTATGTGTGTGTGTGTGTGTGTGTGTGTGTGTGTGTGTGTGTGTGTGTGTGTGTGTGTGTGTGTGTGTGTGTGTGTGTGTGTGTGTGTGTGTGTGTGTGTGTGTGTGTGTGTGTGTGTGTGTGCGCGCGCGCGCGCGTGTGTGTTATGTATGTATTGTTTACATTGGTTCTGAAATTTTACACCTAACACAACTTTTAGTAGCGTATGATGCGCATGCAACACATGAAGCTTCTTTGCATATAACTGAAATCTATTAGTTACTTAATACTTAGTCTGAAATTTTAATTATATTATTTATCATAATTAGTTAATTATGTATACAATTATGATACATTTTACACATACGTAATTATTTTTCTTATTTTTAATTACTTGTTTTCATTTAGTAGCACCAATTAATCCAAATTTCTACACCTGATTACTGGCAATAATTTCTACAAGATATTCTGTGTTTTTGTAATTCACACCTAAGATCAATGTATACGTCGAAAATGTACCTTTAAACAAAATCGCGATACATTTCACGTATTGCAGTATTATTGTTTACACCGTTATTGCAGGCACATTAATGTTGGCACTGAGGAACACTTTCGAAATTATTTGGCAAGATAATTGACTTAATTGTTGTAGAGCTTTGCTCGAATCTATTATCAAATCACTGCTGCGATCTGTGCATCGAATCAGGTTTGAGATCAAGAAGACACAAAACATGCTTGAAAGATCATAGTGGTTTATTTAAATTTTAGTTTTTACACATCCTCATTCCCATTACAATTCGCTTTTCTTAATGCAATATTCCTCTCCAATTCGCATACTTATAACTCGTACACTTAACTTCCTCAGTGAAATGATAAAATGTATAATTATGTTAAAATATTAATAACTTAGTTAAAATATTTACCGATAACTTTAATTTAATTAAGGCATTAATTTTAGCGAGTGAGTTAGGATTATATAATAGAATAGAATAGAATAGAATCTTGATACATTTAGAAAATTCGATATAAAATGGTTTATATATGAAATAGTAAAAAAATACTTTAATAATATGTGTATTAGAAAATTTGCTCTTAAAATATTTTTTTGTAGCTGTAAATATACTATATATTACACTCTTATAAAATGTAATCTGTACAATAGTATAATATAGTAGAATATCGATTACTTTCCGGATGTATATCGCAATTTATTATAATTTGCTTTTATGATTCGCGAGTAATAAAAAATTATTTTACCGCATATATACGGAATTGATTCACGAGTCATTACACGATGATTTTTTAAACAAATTACATTTCTAGCTATCTATCAATTCACGATATTTATAACGTAAAAAGAACATAAATAGCTAGATAGCGCAAATTATTGAGTTGAAGAAAAAGTTCTGCGAAATTTTGTTAGCTCAAAACTATATATTTGTTGTGGAATTTTCGACTATCTGACGTGAAAGCTTAAAGTTTTTCCTAAATGCTCGTTAAAAAAAAATGATTTTACGACTTTTTGTTACCAAATTATACGCGGATAAAATAAAAGAGCTTTATGATTTTGATTGCTCATAACTCCGTTAATAAAACAGATTTTTAAAGCTGAAACGTTGCTCTATCAAGTGATGTAATTGCCAATTAAAAAAAATATAGTATATGCACATTTAAGCAAAAAATGTGATATTACTGTCTTTTTTCCATCGCGCAATAGTTACTAAAGAGAGAGAGATAGTAATATCACATTTTTAACTCAAATTTCTATATATTTTATATTTCAAAAAATTAGCACGGTACTATTCGATAGAACAATGTTTAGTTTTAAGAATCTGGTTTTTTAATTGCAGTACGATGATTTTTAATGTCGAGGAATAAAGAAATGGAATAATTTTAAGAAGATATTGTGACATCAATTCTTGCACACTTATTACAGCGCCGATTCCTCTAATCGCTCTTTTTTAACCTTTTATTTTTTAATAAGGAATCTAATTTTAATTTAAGTTTTATTTTTAATGGAATTATAAGCAATCAAAGTCAGAATGCTCTTTTTTATTTAACACGCGAATAACTCAAGAACAAAAAATCGTAGAAACGTTTTTAAAAACGATTTTGTAAGGAAAACTCTAAACTTTCACGATATACCTAGATAGTTGAAAATTTCCGCAAATTTTTTTGGCACGTGACAGACCCACAAAATGAGAAGAAAAATTTCCCTTTTTTTCAGCTTGTAGTTTTTTATATATAAAAATTACAAAACTCATATAAATTTAAAAAAATATAATAACGATTCATAAGTAGAGATTTCAAGCTTTAAAACCCTTTTTTAAAATTTTGATCATTTTTGATGAAAATATTGTATATATAATTTTAAGTTAACAAAATACCGCAGAACTTTTTCTCCAATCCAATACATTGAGTCAAATAACATAAGCCAATATGAAAGAACATACATGAGTCTTTTCTTCTCGTTCATAATGATGTGAAGCGAACCCAAATACGGATTTTAAACAAGTTAGTACAATGATCAATGATTTTTGAAAAACACACACTGAGTATCTCGACTTGATACTCGATCGTGTGTAGCAACGGTAGGCGTTTTATTCATGTCAAATGTATCAACGACGAACTGAGTTAGTTCGTCGTTGATCTATAACGTCACTTCCCACAATTTTCTCCTATAGACGACTAGCGGATGAAGATGACGAGCTGTCAGAGGTGCAACCAGATGCGGTACCACCGGAAGTGCGCGAATGGCTAGCATCGACTTTCACTAGGCAACTCGCCACCACTAGACGGAAAGCTGATGAGAAACCGAAATTCCGTTCGGTCGCTCATGCTATCAGGGCAGGCATATTCGTCGATCGAATCTATAGGAGAGTTACGAACACCGCCCTTATGCAATTTCCGCCAGAAGTCGTGAAAGTACTTAAGGTAATCTCGCGCAGCTGGAAAATATGTGTATCTTTATATGATGTGATTTAACGATAAATATATTATGGCGTAAGCATAAATATTACACTCAGAAAAATTCAGAGCACACACACGTCTAGCTATAACTTACATGCGTTCTTTATACTTTGGAAACTTCAATTTATACATCTTCGTTAATCAGAAATTATTTGTCTGCTATTGACTATTCACTAACGAAAAGAAAATTTTTAATCAATCAAGGATCGATCAGGTTATTATTAAGATCGAGAATTCTTGAAATTTTAAGTGTTCAAATTGCTTTCTTTATCGTTCAAGACTTTAGATGACTGGTCGTTCGATGTATTTTCTTTGAACGAGGCCGCACTGGGGACGCCAGTGAAATACCTGGGCTATGACCTCCTCAATCGATATGGTATGATTCACAAGTTTAAAGTACCTCCTGCAGTTTTGGAGTGTTTCCTCGGAAGAGTTGAAGAGGGTTATTGCAGGCATCGAAACCCATACCACAACAACCTCCACGCTGCTGATGTTGCGCAAACGATGCATTACATCTTGTGTCAAACGGGTTTGATGGTGAGTACCTTTCTGAGAAAGAGGGGGGAAGGAGGGAGGAAGAAAGAGGGTGGAAGGGAGGAGGAGGAGAATATGTATATAGTACTTTTATGACCTTACTTTGTATTTATTTACTTATGATACAATTAAAGGACAATAAAGATGTTTCTTGATTATATAACGAGCTAGTAATTAATTAACAAAATTAATTAATATAATTTATTTTCGTGAGTTTTGTTGAATTTCTCATTATTATTAGCATATATGTATTTATGACATATTAGAATACATATTAGGTGGTAAACTTAATTCCTGCCGTTTTTTCGTCTCCAAAATTAATTTGTTTCTACTTATGCTCGTTTATGTCTTTTTTATCCCCTTCGCCACATCCTTTCCTATATATATACTCTCAAAAACTCCTCACTTCTCAATTACTTGTTATTCAATTTCTCTATTTGATTACGCTGATGTCGTCTACGTTCCGGCTCTTAACCAACATCTGCTAAATCGTGTACAGCGTATCCAAAATTCTTGTCTCCGCTTCTCCTATTGCGTCCGTAAATACGACCATATATCTCCGTATTACCAGAGATCTGGCTGGCTTAAGATTTGGCAACGTTTTATTCTCCACCCGTGCTGTCTTGTATTTTCTCTCCTTCGCTCCAATACTCCTCTATATCTGCGACGTTTTCTTCAGTTGAACTCTGAACATCATTCTTCTTTTAATCCTCTTGTTACCAAGATTACTTATCCTTCCCCATATATCAGTCCACTAAGTTCCGTGCTGCTTTCTCCTACACCTTTGTCAAATATTTTAATTCCCTTTCTAATATATATTTAATAAAAACCTCTACCTCTCTTTCCGTTCCGCTGCCTCGCGTTTCATCGCTCACAGTATTTAAACGAGACTGATGTAATTGGTGTGTTTGTGTGTGTGTGTGTGTGTGTGTGTGTGTGTGTGTGTGTGTGTGTGTGTGTGTGTGTGTGTGATTTCAGCTATTGATTTACCTCTTATTGCATTGTTGTCTTATTCTGGTTTTGTTACTGATAGGCTCTGCAACAGCAATTTTGCTGACGCCTAACCATTTGCAAGCTACTATTGTCTATTGTATTTATGTTTATGTTAACTATAGTCTATTGTATCACATTTTATGTCTATTACTCTGTTAACATGTAGTCTTTTCATATAGATTTGCAATAAACTAAATTAAATTAAATTAAATTAAATATTTAGATCCAATGAGGAACTGAAAACAAGACCAATAAGAAGAGTAGAGAACGCTGACATAAAAATTTACCAAATAAAGAAAGTAATTTACTAAATTACCAAAAGACTTTAAAAATCATTAAATTAGTGAAAAATCACCAAAAAACCGGCAAACACTGCCTGTGAAGACTGAATTAATGGGCCTGTTTTTTTTTGGCTGAACTTTTGTACCAGTTCATCTTTCTTCCTCTTCTTTCCTCCTGCAGAAAAAAGGAAGATGAACTGATGCAAAAGTTCAGCCAAAAAGAACAGGTCTACTTTCAACAAATGTCTAAATTATACAAAAGATATGCGAATTGCAACTTCACCGTCAAACTCGCCATCGTTGGAGCCGGCACCCTCTAGTAGCGAGCGGCAGGAATTAAGTTTACCACCTAATAAATATATAATCTAGACTATTAACGTGTATAAATATATACTTTTAAAAAAAAGAGTTAATACAATCTTGTTTAGCTATCTTTCTTTATATCGAAAAAAAGGAAAGAAATCATATAGGTATAAGATAGCCGTAAATAATAAAAAAAAGAGTTTTATCGATTCGAATTGTTGATAAGTTTAATAAAAAGAAAGGACCCCTATTCAATTTGAGTCTGCCATTTCTTTGATGATTCTTTATTCGATGTACATTGTACGCGAGATAGCTTCAAGTTGATATTATTCGTTGCAGAATTGGTTGACCGATCTCGAGATTTTCGCTACCCTTGTGGCAGCGATTATTCATGATTACGAGCATACTGGGACCACAAACAATTTCCACGTAATGTCCGGTAGTGATACAGCGCTCCTATATAACGACCGAGCTGTGCTAGAAAATCATCATATTTCGGCCAGCTTTCGGTATATGCAAATTCTATTTTGCGATAGTTATTGCAGTCTCGAACAGTTCGCAACTTAACCGGATTTTAAGTAATCTTATCTTTAAAAATTAGTTTATACAAATGTTAAAGTAAAATTTTAAATATCTTTAAATATTTTGTAATATCGATCAACAATTAATTTTTTCTCTTTGTTTTTTCTTTTTTTTTCTAAATCTATTTTTATTTAAATAGCTTTATAGAACAAAATAATATTATCATTGTTTATGGTAAGATTATATTAATATCTCATAAAATTGCATGTTTTAGGATACTCAGAGAAGATGATTGTAACATACTACAGAACTTGTCAAGAGAGGAATTCCGAGAATTTCGATCGCTTGTGATTGATATGGTTCTTGCCACCGACATGAGTTTTCATTTTCAACAGCTAAAAAATATGAAAAATTTACTAAGTTTGGCAGAGCCAAGCGTGGATAAAAGCAAAGCCGTTAGCTTGGTCCTTCATTGTTGCGATATCTCGCATCCTGCCAAAAGATGGGATCTTCATAATAGGTGAAGTTTTATTGCTCAGAGAGAATGTTAATATTTTTTCTCTTTTAATTTTGATAAAATATGGCCTGTTAGAAATTATTATAGAAACAAAAAAATAATTTTTACAAAATTTTTACATATATTTTTAAAGCTAAGTAAAAAGATAAAAGAAAAATTGGAAAAAAGATTTCTTGCTAGTAAACTGATAAATTATAATAAAGATTTCTCCTTTATTAATTTATATTCTAATAAAAACAGAAACAAAGCGATATGTTAAAATAATAAACGAATAATATTTGTAATTCTTAATTCACATAGATGGACGATGCAACTTCTTGAAGAGTTTTTCAGACAAGGTGATAAAGAGAGAAAGCTTGGATTGCCATTTTCTCCTCTATGCGATCGCAATAATACGTTGGTAGCTGAATCTCAAATAGGATTCATAGAATTCATTGTTGAGCCTAGTATGCAAGTATGCAGTGACATGCTGGAAACCGTTCTCGCGCCACTCAATGTCAAGGACACTACGGATGAGCCCAACAATGGTAAAACTTCTTTAGCTATACACACACACACGCGCGCGCGCACACAAACATAAAGAATTTTTCAGACTCAGATGAATTAAATCAAAGTTGGAACATGCCAATATAAACCGCGCGATACGAGAAGTTGATGTGTATATATTTTATTAATTATCGGAAATAATCTATGTTACTCATAAACGTTTCGATTCTTGATTCGGATCCTCTTCAGTGTAAATTCTTTTACAAATATTGTATCATGGGCAGAAAGATAGCGACACTTTTTTTTCGATGATTTTTGGAATACGCAAAAATTTTCAGAGTGCGATTCACCATCTATCGACGCGTGTGAGCGATTATATGACAGCTGTCAAAGTCATACAAAATTGAAGTATACATGGTGAAGTCAAGAAACGTATCGTATCGCTCCGCGAAAAAATATCATTTGGATGTCACAAGATCAGCAAAGGTTTAAAAGAGTAAACCAATTAGATAAGTTTGTTTTGTAAATTTATTTACATCTTTTATGCAAGTTTAACATTAAAAATTAATATAAGATAACATGTAAAAAATGAAATTATAATACGTAATAAAATTATATATCATATAATAATTTTAATAATTTTTTATGCAAAATTAATTATAATTAAAGGGATAATTTTCGCATTGTTTGTTTTAGAAAAAAATAAGTTTGAAAAAATATTTAAAAAATTGCATACATAATTATGAATAATTTTATATATAATTATACGTAAGTAATCTTTTTACATTTTTTCAAACTTAATTTTTTCTAAAACAAATAGTGCGAAAATGACCTTTTTAATTATTTTTAATGTTTTCACATTACTATTATTATTTCTGTTACACTAAAAAGTAATTGTACAAAAAGAAAAAAGGATATATGAACATGTATGGACATATTTCATATATAATTATACATGTTTATGAATATTTATGCGTGTTTATGTATGTTTATACATATTTATACATATTCATGCATAAAAAATTTTTTACCGGGATCATAATAATTTTATCATCATTATGGACTTATTGCGACTGATATAATAGAAGAATATAACCGATAATATTACCAGACTGAATAGCATTGCATTGTTGCGGAAGATAATAGATACGAAGAAATACTACCAACTTTGCGTAACTATAAATTAATTGTATTTAACTATTTTATTAATTTTGTTAAATTTGCATTAAAAATTTCTTTACATATACACTGAGGATAACCTAATAATAAGGTTAAAACGTATGTTCTAAGAATTTGAAATACATAAAAATCTAACTTGTAGTCCCTTCTTGTTATTTATGTTTGTTTATTATTATTGAGCCATTATATGATTATCTTTATTTAATCAATAATGTTTTTATATTATTATAATTATAATTATTATATTAATATATATTTAAGTATAAATATGCTTGAGATGGGTTTATACGCGAGCATTTTAAAACAGAAACATTTATGACAAGCCTGCAAATCAGGATGAAACTCAGCTGAGTAGCCGTCTCTATGTATTGTTCATAAAAATGTCCTGAAAATGAAAATGCTATTCTATATTTAGAATCCCGGTTAAAAACAGTTTGCATGAAAAATTATTATATAATATATAATTTTATTACGTATTATAATTTCATTAGCTGTTATCTTATATTAATTATTAATGTTAAACTCGTGTAAAGGATGTAAATAAATTTACAAAACGAATTTATCTAATTGGTTTACTCTTTTAAACTTACGCTAATCTTGTGATATCCAATTGCCAATTGGTATTTTTTCGCAGCGCACAAGACATGTTTCTTAACCCTAGTATGATATTCATGAGTTCAACGTACCCTATGTGATTTTTTTATATTGCTATAACGTTTTTATAATATAATTTGAAGACCCCGGATTGAGGCTGAAAAAAAACTTTAACTGTCCATAGATATGATAAGCCTGCAAAAGTAATTTTTTTTGCATTATTCTCGATGTGAGAATGCACGAAATTTCGAAGAGGGTATTTGGGACTTACATATTCCAAAAATCATAGAAAAAAAAGTGTCGCTGCCTTTCTGCCCATGACATTATAGAATCGCTGTGGAGTTAATTCTTCTTAATAGTATACAATTGAAAAGTATAAACGAATATTCATAATTTATTCGGTATTATATTTTTTATACAGTAAATCAGATAATTTAATGAGGTCTTAAACAAGTTATGAAGATTTGATGTCTCGTTTCGTTTATACTTTTTAATTGTACTATTAAGAAAAATTAACTTTACGGCGATTTTACGATATACTACAGTAAATGAATATTTGTGAAGGACACTGAAGAAAATCCGAAAGAATCTTCCAAGGGTCGAAATGTTTGTGAGTAATATGGATTATTTTTATAGATTTCTGGCGGAAAAATTTCTATGTCAAAGTACGCGAAAAAGTACGCATTTCTACTTCTACGACTGTCGCGTCGTTAAACATGGAAATAACTACGCCAAGCTACGCGTTTTTATGTGAAAAATGTAAAATGGCGTACTTGGACCTAACTAGGCACAGAAAGTATACCAAAGTACGCGCAACTAACGATCATTATTTTCTGAACTACTCGTTTTTATGTCGAACTACACCAAACGAATTTTTATTCTTTTATAGTATTTGAAGAAAGTATGCCATTCTATGCTTTTTTTATGCGTAATTACACTTTATAGTCTGATAGTTGGGCATAGAAATAACAACGGCAAGCAACGCATTTTTATGTGAAAAATGTTAAATGGCGTACTTGGACCTAGTTAGGCACAGAAAGTACGCGCATCTAATGATCATTACTTTCTGAACTACGCGTTTCTATGCCGAACTTCTTTAAACTGGTTTTTATTTTTTCGTAAGTATTCGGAGAAAGTATCCCAGCAAAGTGTCGTCTATTTAACGTCATTAATTAATCATTCTTATGATGAATGTGATGTTTAAAATGACGTCCAAACATCATAAAAATGGCGTGAATTCTTATATTTCTTATCACTTACACAATGTCTTAAACTGACATAAAAAATACATTATTATTTTCGTGTTATTAACGGAATAAATGTATGACGTTGTAACGTCCGGCTGTCAAACTCACCCAAAAACGCCGGCCGTCACGCTGAGCAAAGCACGCTAACACGAGGGGTGCACATGTGCGACATAAGGCATTGTACACGTGGGTATCATACCGAAGAATACGTGTATAAAAACTGGGCTCAGCAATGCAAGCTTGCAGGCGCGCATTCAGCGAGCAGGGTACTCACAAGCGAAGAGGAAAACACGGGGATTCGCCTCAAGCACTCTCCAATCGGAATTATGCAAGAAAACCCCTTGAAAATTAATTAGGAATACCGATGAAAATCTCAGGAGTGGGAATGGAGAACATCCCCCTTGCCACGAGACGCTATCGTCTTACCTGTATATAAGGCGAGCTAAGGAAGCTCTCGGTGCCATTTATCGCCTATACTCGCATATATCTCGCAAACCGTGCTTCGAGTACAATAATAAGGTAGAGACCCGGTGTAGGGAGTAGAGTCACGCATTCACGGCTAAGTCTTCGTCTACAGCGGCACTTGTAAATTTTGCGACGGTCGCACGCGCTCGCGGCTAAGTCCGTGCGGTTGAATATTCGTAAATAACTCATTTCCCGAAATTGAGACTATAGGTTTTTCATTTTTTACACCAAAAACAACTTATATGTAAAATTTCAATCGCGAGCGAGAGTCATTTGGAACTACACTCTTTTATTTTTCTATGGATTTATTAACAGTTAGGGCTCGTACAGACAAGCGACTTTTTAGTGTCACAATTTCTGGCGCTACAAAAAATTGTTGCGAATATCTTCATATGGGTCAATTTGTGGCGCGACAAGAAACATTACGGATGCGTTCAAAGTGGTAAATTCGTGGCTTGACAATGAAGCGCTGCGAATTCGCCCATTTGAACGCATCCGTAACGTTTTATCGCGCTAAGAATTTGCCGATATGAACATATTTGCGACACTTTTCTGTAGCGCCAGAAAATAGCTCCGTATGAACGGATCGGCGCTTTCAATTGTGGCACTACAAAGTCGCTCGTCTGTACGAGTCCTTATCCAATAATAATGTTGCAGGTTCGGGAGGAGAAAATAGAAGGTTCAAAATTGGCAAACCTTGGATTTCCTGTCTCGCAGATAATAAAAAAATCTGGAAGGAACAAGCAGTCCGAGGCATGTTATAAATGTTATCACAATTAAATTGAGATCATTTAATCAGTAGTATTTTAATTGTAATCTTAAAGTTAATCATTTTTAGCAAAGAATTTTTAACATAATTATGAAAATTTTGTTTATATTTTAGCATTATACATGCATTTTATTAAATTAATAATTTCTTAATAATAAGATTTTTAATAATAAAAAATATAACGGATTAAAATTTTATCCGCAGATGCAGAAATCAAAGCACAAAAAGAACAAGAACAAAAGGCTAGCAACAATCGTGAAGACGTTGGGGGAGCGCAAGTTGCGGCCGAAGAATAAAAGATACACCGGACAATTATATTTTTTAAGAGTCTCTGCAACTTTATGTTACAAGGAAGTTTGTGATCACATTAGATGGTATCAATCATAAATTTACGAACTTCTTATTACGCTTACAAATGATAGCCAAGCATCATTCGGTAGTACAAATGGATATTAGATGAGTGGTTATGGCGATGTACACAAAAATACACATACACAAGATATGTTGGGGAATACTTTGTTTGAATTGACACCAAAGACTCAAATTGTGTATTTATCCCGCTATTTCTGTAGAATATTCACATAATATATTTTAACTGATTGTTTTCTACAGTTTCATATATTGCTTGATCTCATTATATTAGTTACAGTGCACCTCGAGATAATCGTCGCTATTGCAATTAAATTAGACATGTTTTGTCAATTTTAAAGGTTCCTTAAGAACTATTTTTGTGAAAGTTTCTAATTTTTAAGTGAGATATTTTTTATCAATGACTTAATATCTTATTCTAAATTGTTTAAATAAATATAAACAAGTAAATATGTGATACATAATACAATATGTATACGGTAGAAAAATTGATAAAAGAACAACATAAATTTTAAATCCTGAATTATGTTGCAATTATTTTGCACAAGTAGATTGTGAATTATTCATACTCTTTTACTGTTTTTAATTATACGGTGCAAGAATTGATATATAATAATACAATCTAAAGTTACAAGTATATTGCAGAAGGCGTACACATTTAAAAAAAAAATGAGCATCCTCAAAATACAAGCACGCATCGAATGTCAAAAGAGAAAAACTTATTTATAATTGCTGATATCAATAAATTTAAGGATTCTATTCTATTTGTTAGAAGACTATTTCAAATCGTATTTGCTTTCTTTTGACGCTATGTAAGTAAATGTTATTTAATCAATTGAGTGAGATTTGTTATCCAATTTCTTGATATCGAATGATATAATTAAATCGTGTACCTTTTAAAAAAGAGCAAAAAATATATTTAAATTATATTTTAGGAATCTCTCTCTAAATAGTAATCAATATTTTTTTTAAAACTTAAAGCAAATTTAATGGCATAAATTGTAGAGTATGGAATGTTTGACATGTATAATGTTTGACATGTACAATCGTAATTCATAATGGCTATCTTCTCCTACTTCTATTTATACTATATATATTTTTGAACCAATATTATAATCGACGGTGATTATAATATTTTGGTTCAAGATATAAGATTTATTTATTTTAGATAAAAATCAGAACGTAGCAGTTTTTTTTGCTATTTACTAATACATGCCACACAAGAATATGAATATTAAGATGGAATCTTAAAGCGAAAAGAGTAGCAAAGTATTCTTGTACATTTGTTAGATGTATACACGTATACACGTACTGATTCAGCTTTAACGTATGTGTATCTAATGTATAAAGAAAAACAAATAACAAGATATGGCTAATGTTTTATCAATGTACACGTATGATATATTCCGTATACATATATGTACATATTATACGTATGTATTATGTATATATACAAAAAAAGGAAAAAGGAAAAATTATTTTGTTGAACTCCTTGCGATATTGAGATTGTAGAATATACATGTTAGTGCATATTAGCAACGCACATGTCTGTATTTAAGTTTGTAATTAATATATCTATGAACAAGTGCGCATTATAAAACGCATAAATCTTGATATAATGACAGACAGTTGCCATTGTATCAATGCATCATTATCCTATGTTATACGCGTAAAGGAATCGGAGACATCGGTGCAATAAAAGATTGATAATATTTATCTCTTTTTTACTTCTTATTAAGCAGAGAAAATTTTGCTGCTATTGCAAATTTTATTTCACGATTTATAAATGTATATAAATATATTATTTTCAGCACATTCGCACGTTACAAGAAATATTGTCTAATATATACATGCTGATTTTAATGAAGTTTTCATTACTAAGAGTACAAAATGCCCATTTTATTGGCAATCGTCAATATTTGATAAGGAAAATATATATGTTTATAGAAAACTGATGAAAATAAAAAAATATAAGAAAATTACACTGTGAGGTTTGTTTATCTTAGAAATTTTTAGTTTTTCGTAGATATTTATGGTGGGTCGTAGAGTGGCGTTGTTTGAGAGCGGAGAATTTCTAGATTTTTCAAACAAACAACATGGCTTTACGTCTCACTACGAATATTTATGAAAAACTAATAATTTCTAAAATCTTGTCTCAATCTATGTAGTTTTTCGTAAAAGTTTTTGCGTCAGAATACATAATACAATCGGATTATATTAAATAAAAAATGAATATATTATAAGGAAATTGATAAATATGGTAAGAATATCATAATCTTCATTTGACAATCATCCTGCCGTTATGTTTTGTCAAAATTTTATATTTTTTTTTAATTTACAAGTACAAAAGTACTTACTTTCCACATAACGCAATATTCCAGACAGCACACAATGTTTATAAAATATTTACAAAATATTTATAAATATTTATAAGGCTTATTTTTAATATTTTGTAAATAATTTTATGGTCTTAGATATTGCATAGATCATAAATATTTATTATAAATATTATGAAATATTTAATGTAAATCTTGTAATAAATGCTGTAGAAATACTTAATAAGACATTATAATTTAAATAAAAAATACTTAACAAAAATATTTATTTATATTTGCCATAAATATTACATTAAATAATTAGTCTATCTTTTAATAATATTTCGAATAAAGCTTTATATAAAATATGTATAAAATATTTATACATATAACATTTCAAAAAATGAATAATAATAAATATTTATTATAAATATATATTATTCTGTGCTATCTGGGATCAAGATAGAATAAAAAGTCTTTCCATGTATTACATGAAAAGAGAAGAGAATTATTTTCAAATTGCTATATCTCGAAAACGTAATATTACATCGAAATGAAATAAAATTCATTTTAAAGTTAAAAGTTGATATTTTCGCGTAATATTAACAAAATTTAGAAAAGTTTTTATCAATGCTGTATGACGTCATAAAAATCTCCAAAGTTATCATTTTTATCTCTTTAATGCCGTTTTTCTCAAAATTATGATATGATAGCCAATTTGGACAACATGTTCGTGTTCCGCAAGCGACAATACATTGGAAATTACATTTGGAAATGACTATTCACACTCATGTGGCAAAATGATGTTGGACATTATAATGTTTTCATATTTTCAGAGGTACCAAAGGTTTCACGGGTTATCGCCGTGTCGTGATTCATTGCTAATGCCAACATTGCCAACGTTTTGTGAACTTTACCGTTCACTTCATCAGAGCATCATTATTTTTCATATTTTTTTCAATTTTCATCAATTTTCCATAAACATTTCTATTTTCCCTATTAAATATTGACGATTGCCGATAAAATCGTTATTCATCATTTGCAAGACTTTTAGTAATGGAATCTTATCAAATGTAATTTTTCATCAAATAGTAATTTCATCAAAATTAGCGTATATATTGGGTAGTGTTCCTTATTAGTATAATTTGTGCCATATTAAGTAACTTGTGTGTGTGTGTAATAAAAAATAGTAATTTACCTTCTTCACAATCATTACATTATGGACAAAAGAACGTTTTGATTTGTTCTTATTTGCTTATTAAGTTTATAACAAATGATAAAAGAAATGAAAGTATTTACCGAAATTGAATCTGATTCTGTGTACGTGGCAATAATTTGAAATAAGACTCTATAAAAAACATGTTATATATATGTATATCTATAACAGAGTGTTTGGTAATGACTACATAATCTCTCGTAGACAGGTACAGCGAACTAAACTGAGTAGAAAAGTCTTCTACTATTTTGTAATTTTTGCAATTTTCGTTAACAAGATATTAATTTCTATAAAAACTGCCAAATAAGTGGATAAAATTGACGCATATAATAAGACGCATATAAGTTTAAGATATTTTTCAAAAGTTCTTTTTGAAATATTATAAAGATGTTTCTTAAAAGCTCTTAAAGATGTCTTAAAGTTGTTTTATGTCGATTTTAGACATTCTACTTATTAGGTAATTAAAAAAAATTGCGAAAATTGCAAGATCACTGAGAGAAAGGATTTTGTTAATTTAGCAAGCCACCAATACCTTTAACCGGTGATCGGTAAATATGTAACAACAAATTACGTTGTTGTGATTGCTGCTAGTCTGCTATACCAACCAATTATTAGTAACAGAAACAAACTATATAGAATCTAACCTATCTTTTGGATAGACTTTAGCTCGTTTACATAGAATTCGTAGATGATCGTGGAGTCTTAAGTTGTAGGAAACCGACCAAGCACAGTCAAATATAGGGAGAATACTTAACTAGAATTAATCAATTTCTTACGATTTGAGACCCTGCAACCGTCTACGACTTTTATATATATATGAGCCTCTTATTTGCTAGTGATACTATTGATTATTAATTGTTACATTGACGAATTAATTTGTAATCGTAACAAATCGATTGTTTTTTTAATAAATATCACATTTGCTTTCCTTTGATTTGTTCCTATAACAAAATCTTTTCTCTCAGTGATTTTTTTTATACACTCGTCAACAAAATTATCGCATAAATAAATTTATAATTAAATTTATAAATAAATTCAAATAAGTATAACTCCGAAAAAGCGAAAAATGGTTGCATTTAAAAGTTTTTTTTTTAATTTTTTAAAGGTAAAGTCTGTACTTTACGAAGTTTTCAATGGATTTTAAATTTATTCTTGCTCCTATCCCTCTGGCATCTTTTCAAAAATAAGGATGTATTTTTTTTAAAGAAATTTGCATAGTTTGACGCACTTTACGGGGTGGAGTAAATTTTTCTCGTAAATTTCACGATACCGTAAAGTATGAATTTTTCTCTTACAAATTAAAAAAAATTTAGCTTTATATAATTTTTTTCGAGGAGATACGGTGTATCAAACTTACCTATGCATTTAATTAAATTACCGCCAGCATTAGCATTACTCGATGCGTACCATGGAGAGGTTGCTAATCTAATTTTGCTCGCGCGTGCGTGCGTGTGTATGTGTAGGGTGGAGGTATGTGGGGATATATTTGCTCTTTAAAATTGTCTATTACACACACACACGCGCGCGCGCAAAATTAGACCAACAACCTCTCCGTGGTGCGCATCGGATAATGCTAATGCTGGCGATAATTGAACAAAATGCATAGACAAGTTTGATATACTGTATATCCTTGAAAAAAAATCGTATAAAATTTACTTTTTTTTCAATTTGTAAGAAAAAAGTCCATACTTTTATGGACGGTTATCATAACATTTACGAGGAAAATTTACTCCACCCAGTAGAAAGTCAAACTATGCAAATTTCTTAAAAAAAAACACGTCTTTATTTTTGAAAAGATGCCAAATAGAGGTAAGGATAGATTTAAAATCCATCAAAAGCTTCGCAAAGTACAGACTTTACCCTTAAAAAACTTTTAAATGCAACCATTTTTCGCGAAGTTACGCTTATTTGAATTTATGCGAAATTTTAATATAAATTTATCTATGTGATAATTTTGTTGACAAGTGTATATGTATATATATGTATAGTATATTTATATACATACATATATGTATATGTATAATGTAAAATAGAACACAAAGCTAGCAGACTTTTCGAGTGAAATGTTTTATTGTTAAAAAGAGAAATGTGTGTGCGTGCGTGCGTGCGTGTGTGCAAATATGTATGTATGTATGTATACGTATATACACATATACACACGTATATGTACTAGAGCTCGGAATACCTGAGTACCCTAGTATTCGCCCGCTCCGTTATCCGTACATACGAATCCGGGCTTCTATTCTTGAAAAAAAACGTATGCGAGATTTTAGAAAAATACTAATATACGTAACGTATACCGTAGTATTTCTCTAGATTTTCGTATACGTTTTTTTTCAAGGATAAGGGCCCTGGTTCCGTTAATTCGAGTACTTGCAGAACCATGTACGAAGCGAATATCCACAGAACCATGTGCGATACGGGTACAACCCTGTACGGGTACCCGAGGAATCGCGAGCAATATGATGCTACAATTATATTTGCGTGTAATTTTGTCAATTTTAAAGGTGTGTGTTTAACAATTGTTTGCAATGATTCGTTTGTAAATATTCCGGAGCTAAACTGTTTTGTTTTCGCATTATGGATGTTACATACTAAACACATTTCCATATTTAATTTACTTTGCAGGGACTGTACATCCTTAATTCAACCTGTTTAACTACAAACAAAATAAAAATTAGTATAAACAATTCTAAAACGTCTTTAAAATTAGCAAAATTACATGCAAGTATCTATAGCATATAGCGGATATCCGTATGAAAACGGGTATCCGTATCGTCCACGATTCCGCGAATACCTATATCGCAAACGGTTCCACGGGTACTTGCATCGTACGTGGTTCTGCGGGTATCCGAATTAGCGAGTACCCGCGGAACTGATCCAGAATCGTATACACGGATGGGTAACGGATCTGCGGGAGAGTACCTGAATTTTATGTTACCCGGTTCCTTTTCCGAGCTTTAATATACACATATATATAGATGTATAGTATAGAATAATCTCACTATTTCGAGATTGAACATATCCGTCCTGTATTTATTTAATTTCCCTCATTTAAGAATTCGCGTTATTATTATGAAGCAGATGTTTCATGCTATTATAACACAATATAATAGATAATGTTTATCCTCTTCTTATTATCATCTTGTAACGTAGTCTGACCAAATCAGCTAAATCAAAAATTTAGCATAGATATTATTAGCTCAAAAACCGAGCAGATTCAAAAAAAATTAATTACTATGCTCGATTAAATCTTGTTTTAAATTCAATTTTTTTGATATTATTTGGATACTTTTATGCAAAATTTAAATGAGCAAATGTTTTCTACTCAAAGCGTTTATTTTTTATTGCAAGGATATAAATAATACACATTGTATATTATTGTAAGTACACATTGTAAAATTGGCTTAATTGTTTCATAAAATCAGACTTTAATCGAGGGCTGTGCGCCGGTGATGTATAAATTTTTTTCTGCAGCGGACGAGGGGCCAAAACGCGCAATAGAATTAAAATACATTGAAATCAAATTGCATTAAAAGAATTATTGACCAGTCACGTAAATAAAATTAGTCGGTTATAGCGTAAAGACGTTAATTAGATTCGCGTGGCACTCGTCGCTCTTAATAAATAAATAATGAAATGCATCGCTAGACGTTAAACTTGAAAGATCATAGGTTAAATCTGTTCTACGTTAGACATACACGTTTATTCACGTGACTTGGTCATTTCATCGTCTAGAAACTTTTAAACTTAATACTGGCCTTTCCTTGTACGATATATGCGATAATACAAGATAATTTAAATCACACACAAGAAAGGAGAGAGAGAAAGAATAAATAAAACAACGTTGACATTTAACGGTGTCGCAAGCACGTTATTACGCTTGAGACGAAGCACTTTCCAAATATATTTGGTATAAGCAAATGATTATTATAATCAGATAGTTCGACAAGACGAGCGAGAATTTTGCAATATCGCTCGGGATGACAAGGCGGTTCAATAATACTCGACCAATACTATTAACTTTTAAGATGAAAATGCACATGTAAATCTTCTTTTCTTAAGTCAGTCTTTACTTCTCTCAAATTAGTACGTCCCCGTATACTATTTATAAATCCTATTAGTCTTGATTATAATTATTATAAATCTCAGAACGATGCGTTCGTGCCATTACATTGATGCTAATCGTTTCTAAATGTGTCATCGCGGATATTATAATGATTGTATATTCATTCTCAGTTCATTTCTCAGCACAATTTAATACAAGAGTGTGTACATAACCAACAACAGCAACTTTAGCACCATCACCATGTCCGTTCGATGTGATGTAATGAAATGTAAACGTATAATGAGAGATATATTAATATATTATACCACAAAGATACGTGTATAATTAGAATTGTACTCTGCGTAACTTTACAAAGAAATAAAAATACTCGATTACTTAAATTATATTATCGATTTAATTCGAGTAGTATATACATATAAGAATAGAGTGATTTTAATCAACTCTTTATAATTTATTAAATCTAATACTTGTTACCCAGAAGCAAAAATCAACTTAATTCTACAAGCAGTCTATAATAAAGAATTTTTTTCAAATACGGTTTGACAGAAGCTATAGCTGTAATTAATCGATATCAAAATTACAATGCAGCTGTTAATTAGCTTGCATTCTTTTCGATTTTTATAATGAATAAAATATGTTATCACAATTGTTAAAAAACTTACATGTGACAAAAATTTGTATTTTTTTTATTTCATTTGTTTTTATTATAAGAATTTATAATGAAAAATGAGAGTTTCTTTTGATTTTATTTATTTTAGAAGATGTGACTGCTAAAAAAATGTCATTTTAAATGCACCGTACGTATTACTCTGTCGTAAACTGTTTATTATTCTCCGAAATAAATACAGCTTCGTGTATTGCGAAGACAAATTTTGAACAGAACCTTTTACCAATTTTTGATTGCAGAAAGATACCAAATTGTATATAGAATTTGTATTATCTGACATTGTCGGTAAATTGCTGTCAGAAATATAACAAAGCCTGCTAAACATACTATGCCAGCAGATTGGTAGCAGAAACCGAGTAAAGTCTTGCATAACCTGACGGCTGACTAAAAAATGCAGATTATTATCTATATATTTTATTTAAAAATTCTGAATGGGTATTAATGTGGCAATAAATCGTAAGAAGCGCGAGAATATTTGTCATAAAAATCTTTTAGTATGTTATATTTATTTTATTTTTATATTTATCTATCGGAATAATTTGTAGATTTACATGACAGATTTCAGATCATTTTTTCCCTTAAAATAAAAATGTATCTTTTAAAAAATATCTTTGATATAGTTATTCTTTTTTTGTTACCAATTTATGCAAAAAGCAATTTAAAGCTGTAACTTGAAAGTACAAGTTATAATTTAAATAATTATTATTTTTGTTAAATTAAAAGTTATTTTAAATTAATCCAATCATAAAAAATAACAATAAAAATGGAATTTTGTATAATGTACAAGACCGTCTATTATACAGACATATTTATTTCAAATTATTCTTACATGATTAAAACGTTCACAAATTTATCTTTCATCAAGACTTTCCAATACAGAAAAATAGAAAACAAGATAGACAGATGTATAGTCGCCAAAGAAGATTATGTATCAGTAGACGTGTAGAATGGGAGTAAAATTAGAAGACTGTGTTTAGTCTCTCGAGTTCTCCAGAGTGCTGCCGCTGTTGCTGTTGTTCGATTCGTGAACTCTCTCGATGTCTTTGTGTACTTCTTGACGTGTGGTATTGTGTTCCGTGAACTCATGATTCTCGTCACATTGCTGCCTATCGTTTTCGGTCTCCTCGGTCGAATGCTGCCGCGATTGCACTGCTCGTTGCAACAGCTGCGGATTTCGAGCTCGAGATGCTGATTTATCCTTTGATTTTGCGCGCATCTCCTTACGTTTTGGTTCTCGATGCAGTGATTTCTTTGCTAAAATATAGATTAATAACACAGGCCAACAAAATTTAATGGGGATTCTTGTGCTTCGAACTTTAAAAGATGTTTCCGTAGGATTACGAAATATTTCAAAAGAAAAAAATCGTAAAAAATATCTGACAATTTATACTTATAACTGTATGTTTCTTTTAAATCCTTTTTTGAAAAATTAATTTCCGATTATTTGTTCAGAAGTTATGAATTTAAAGCGCCAAAGCAAAATCGACGACCACCAATCACAGCGGACGTGCCTAGGAGCTTTCTAGTCTCAAGCGCGATGACTTGTGTCCAATCGTATCGTGTGCAAAGTGATAAAAGTATACTGATAAAAGTAACTGTAAAATTCGTTACCGTTACCAAAAAAATGTAACTTTGTTACCGTTACAGTTACCAAAGAAAAAAAGTAACGCAGTAAAGTTACTAAAAAAGTAACTAGTAACTGTAACTTTGTTACAAGTAACGAGTTACTTCCCTGAAATCACAGGGTATATATATATATATATATATATATATATATATTTCTTGTATCTTAAAAAGCGTCCATTAATCATATAGCGCTATTCCTGATTGAAAACTGATTTAAGAGTTTTTTAAAGAACATCTTTAAGATATTCTGTAAAAAACACTAAAAGATATTTTAGAACTGTTTTATGTTTGGATTTTATCCGCTAATTTGGCAATTTTTAGAAATTAATATCTCGTTAACTATTGCAAAAATTGTAAAATGACTCAAGATTTTTGGTCGCAGTTTTTGATCAAGAATAGCGTTATTTGAGATATATCCTGTATATTTCATATATATATATATATATATACCTTTTCTATATGTATATGTGTATACAATATATATATATATATAAAACTTGTTTTTCTAAACAACTATATCTATACATATAATTAAATAAAAAAGACAGCAATGTATAACTCTTAATTCTTAATTTAGTACATTTTCTATTTTATTTTCTAAGGTGATTTATGTATATTAAAATTACCTCGAAAAACGCGTTTTTGGCTCACGTCGCTATCGCATTCACTTTCATCAGAAAAATCGGACTCGAGCTCTCGCTTGGATACTCTTGAACGTTTCGTTTTGCAATTGAATAGCACAGGCGAATCGTTCCTTCTATGCAAGAAATCCTGTCCGGATGAATGATCCTCGAACTCCTTATCGTCTTTGTATGTGCGCTTTCGTTGTCGTCGCTATCATCATCATAAATATTAAAATTATATTTTGTATGTTTTATTTAATTAAATAGCAATAATTTTCATTCACGATATAGTACAAGAAAAGAATTTTAACAATTATTCTCATTGTTGTTTTATCATAAAAAATAATATATCATTTATTATGTATATAATATATCCTTTATAACGCTTTTTAAGTTTTCATGGGTATTATCTTTAAAGATACCAGAAGATTTGCGAATTATCGCTGTGTTCTCATTACCATGTATCAGCTCTTCGCCCTGATGAAGTAAACGACAAGATTCACGAAACTTTGGCATTAGCAATAGATGAGAACACGGCGATAACCTGCAAACCGTCTGGTATATATAATTTATTTTATTCAAATATATTTATAATCTTTCTTGAAGTTTTGCGAAAATAGTGGCTTTACGTTTAATTTTTCCGTCTCTTCGCATTAGCATAGTCTCGTGTTACTGCCTATGTCACAATAGACTCTTATTGCAATTTGCTATAAATTCTTTTAGCTCACAACGTAAAGATAATATGATTAGCATTTATATTATTAAAATCTCTTTAAAAAATAATATCCCTATATACCGGGTATTCAAAATAAAATTACAAATTTTTATCTCGGAAACACGACATTATACATTTAGATTAGAAATCAGAGTTTGGTCATGAGATAGTCAATCTATGATTTGTTTGACATTTTTCATTAAATCGCATTATAATCCGAGCAAGATGGCACATATCTTTTTCTTTCTCGCACTACTGCAAAAAATAAGATAATCATATTTTTTCTCATTCGCATTATTTTGACGAAAAATGTCGGAACCGTTGTCGTGGCTATAGACTCTGTTATTAAAAGATGTCTCTAATTTAAATATATATATACATATATATATATATTAAATTTAATGTATTGTTAAAGTAGTTTAAACTATTCGAATAACAATAACTCTAATTGACGCACCTTTCGATTCTGGGCGGCATTGGTTCGTCTAATGTATGGCGAACGTCGAGATTTCCTCCTTACTTTAGTATTACGATGTCTACTATTTCGTCGTCGAGTAATTTTTTTCCTATATTTATAGATTTAAACAGAATCACAGTAATTTTAATTTCTTCGTTTTTTTTCCGAGCCAGCGTTTTATATTTATGTTAAACCTCTTATATATGTAATAGTCTATCATCGATCCATAACAGATTGTAGACGTTATTTATTACAATAAATTTTAATAGATCTTACTTATAAATTTAAACATAAATGTAACATATAAAAATTGCACTGTCCAACACGGATTTTAGACTACGAATGGAACAAAGTGATTTTTATAAACTTTTTATAACTGAATCCATAAATGAAATTGTTCTATCACGCCAGGTTTTCGAAAAACTTGAACCTAAAGGTGCTAAAAATGGCATTTTGGGTTCTTTGAGCTAAAATATTTAAAAAATGTAACGTGATAGAGTAATTTCAATATTATAAATTTGTTTTCAATGACAAAATATATATAAGAGTCGTCTATTTTATTGACCGCTTTATGCAAGAAGCTATAGTTATAATAAAGAGGAAGAAAATTAAATTCATATATATAAATATAACACTTTAAGGTCCGCTTATGTAATTTGAATAATCACCTGTTATTTTTTATTTTTTTACAACAAATGGGAGACAGAAAAATAATGCAATGCGCTATTTATATGCATTTTTTCCACAGAATCTAATAGTGAATTTATTTTTATTCAAATAAAATTTTTGTTAATTGGTTAAACGATAATTGTTTGAACAAATTGTATATGATAATTGTGATTCCAGATTTATAATGAGAGAGACTTCACAAACTATTACATTCAGGTGATTATTCAAATTGTATAAGCAATCCTCAAAGAGATATATTTATCTCTATGGATTTTAATTCTCTTCATCTTCGTGTAACTGTTGTTTCTTGCATAGTCACCAATTAAGTAAGTGACTCTTATAGATTTTTTGTTGCTGAAAACGAATCTGTGAATGAAATTGCTCCATCACATAACGTTTTTGAGTATTTCAGCTCAAAAAACATAAAAATACCATTTTTGGTATCAATTTTCTCAAAAACCTGACGTAATAGAGCAATTTTATTTATAAATTCGTTTTCAACGACCAAAACTATATAAAAATCACTTGGTCCTGTTCGTGATCTAAAAAAAAGTTTAAATTTGTCAGAGAGTGTTGTTATCTTTGAAATGTGAAACTTTAAATTAGTCGAAAAAGGAGAGTCATAGCGTTTAGAAAAATTTCGGCGTACTTGCGCTCTTGTGTTTCAGAGGATTCAACATCGCTAATCGGTGTTTCTACATCGGATTTCGATTTTTTTTGTTTGTTTATCTGATTGTTAGTTGGTTCCTTATTAGCAGGTGGTTCCTTAGCAGGGTTAGAGACAGAATTAGGATTTAAAGTAGCCAGTGCTTTATAACGACCACTCCTCTGCCGTAGAAGTCCAGCATTTACTGCATGCTTTAAAGCACGATGTACCTATCGAGTATGTTATAGAAACATTTAAATTACTTAAGTTTTATTATTGATCATAATAGAAATTATCTTTTTCTTTTTCTTTTTCTATTTCAAAAAATAATCTATAATAGAGATTTTTAAGTGTTCATAACATAAATAAGATTAGGGGAAGGATAAAACAAAATTTTTTAAAAACATTATAAACTTTTTATCTGAAGTTCAATTTCTTAAAATAAATGTATATTGTAAAAATTTAAACAAACACAAAAAATATATTTTCACTTCTAGAAAATTGGAATTCTGAGAAGCATTTCACACACGAATTACTGTGATAAATAAACACAAATTGTTAAAGAAGAATATTTAAAATGTAATGTTTGTGTAGGCACACACATAATAACTTTTAAGATAAATATTTTTGTATATTACCTGCAGTGTCAAATTTTTTGACGATACGTTGCTATGACGGATAAAACTGAGAACTTCATGAGCTGATGAACCTTTGGTGTCACTAAGATTTGCTACTGCATCTAGCACGCGAGCCATAAGTCGCGGATTTGACGGTCGAACCATTTTCGTGATTCACAATTTACTTGATTGCTGCTTGATTATTCTTGTAAATGTCTAAACATTAAATTTCAAATTATTCTATTGCAAATTAACTTATTATTATCCTATTATTATAGTAATAGGATAAATTTCAAATTATCCTATTATTATCCTATATAAAGAATAAATAATATAGTATTGAATATAGTAATAATATAGTATTAGAATACTAAATATATTCAATATGGAATTCACGAGTGTCTGTTTAAAATAATTATTATGTTTTTATATTTTTAGCGTTTTCCAGTTACGTGACACAACACTTATATTTTTAAGGAATAAAAGAAAATTATTTATGATAGATCTTTTTGAGTTCATATTGCGAATTGCAGGACCAACTCGAATTTTTTAATGCTACTTTAAATTTTCTGAGATTCATATCTACATGCCATACTTATATGCATTATTACCTGACAAACTCTCGGAGTAAAAAGATATCCAATTACTTTTCTTAATGTGACAAACGGTTTTGATAAACCCGTCGTAAATACGGGCCGTCTTTAAGAGCACCACGAATTTCGTTGAGGCATGTCGTTGTTGCATCGAAGTTGTCACCGATACATCCGTCGTCTCTAAATGATGTTCTTCGTTTGTTTGACGATGCTTCTTTTTTCTTATACTCAAGGGCGTATTCAGATTCCCACCCGGGTGCTCCCCGGAGGCCGGTGTCATGTCATCCTATATTTAATGTTCGGTAAACAACAAGAATAGAGTGATACCTGTGTGGCACTTGGGTATCTGAACATAGTCCAAGCTGTTATACATATTATTCCGAATTCGGTAAACACTGGATAGAATGATTACGGATGCCTCCGATTTACAAAACCGAACACAGATTCAGAATCGCAAAACATTTCTTATTTTAATCTATATACGATAATAAATTGTACATACATACACTCGGTTAAATAATCTGAAATTCGAAGAATGCAACACTATACTGAAATTCAATAAATCATCTTAAATTATTATATATAAGCTATGGCGTATTTAGTATAATCAGAGAATTTCAATTTATTTACATAACTCACCATAATCGAAGTTCAGCTTTATATAGTCCAAATCATATCGACAAAGAAACAAAATAATAATGGAAATATTATCATTACAAAATTAAAATATAAAAAAATGTTATTAAAAATAAAGAAGCCTGATAATAATGTATCCTATATTAAAATTGGCGTGTCACGCTTTTTTGAAGCCTCTTTTCAAAGGGGTGTAGAAGTGCTCCGATTTCGAGGTGGTTTCGTATTCGGTGGTTTTTGGGGTCGCTCGTTCCGAAATCCTGATAAAAATTTCGAATTTCAAAATGGCTGAACCAATATGGCGGACGGAAATGTTACCGAAATCCTAAATGTTTTCTGATTTCGGTGAAAATTGGTATCGTGAGGTTTTTGAAAGTGAGAACAGGGGTGGGGGAATTAGGAGAAAGTCTTTGTACGGTAAGGGGGGTAAGACAGGGGTGCTCACTGAGTCCGTTGTTATTCAATGTAATGACGGCGGACCTGGAGGAGGAGATGAGAAAGGTAAAATGGGGGGAAAGTGAATTTGGGAGATATATATAGGAAGGTATATAGGTAAATTAGCTAAATTTTATACTAGCTAAATATAAAATTTTTTGTAAGGGGGCTGAGTAAACAGTCAATCAGCCACTCCCCCCACGCGTTAAAAACAACCGATTTGGAAAATTAAATACACAGGATTTATGCGCTATTTATGCGCTACTATTTCCAGGCATTTTTGGTTGTTGCTCTGCAACACTTAAGGCACTTCTCTCTTGGAGCAAACAGTCATATTCACCCCTAAGTCACGTCTGCCTAGCTGACCCCCCACTTAACCAAATCTTAATTAAAAAATCATGGAATAATGCGCTATTTATGCGCTACATATTTCCGCAAAAAAAAATTTTTTTCGCTCATTCCGTTCGAATGCGAGCGTTGACAGAACTAGTGCGCACTCAGTGCACTTTAAAGTCGTTGTACTGGTTGTACAGCCGGTTACAGAGAGGTTGCAACACTTTTTTTTCGATGGGTTTCGGAATGCAGTTTGCCGAACGATTAGTTCTTATTTATAGATCTATGAGTAAGAACCAATTACTTGAAGAACAAGCTGCGTTCTAAAACCCATCGAAGAAAAAGTGTTGCAGCCTTTTAGTAACTGACCATACACAAATCGATATAAAGATGTATGTTTAATAAAAATATAGAAACAAATTAAAACGCGAAATATTCAATACATTTTATTGTGCTATTTTGACAAAATATACATTGGATATTTTCTCAATTGAAATATCTCATTCAGAATGAGGCTGGAGTCCCATAGAGCGGAAATTTACAGCAGAACAGCGAGACCAATCACAATCGCAGAAAAGAAAGCAGAGTAATGACTGCAGAGTGGCAATTGGTTGCGCAGAGTTCCGTTCCGCTATAAATTTCCGCTCCATGGGACGCCAGCTTGAGTCATTCTACATTTAAGGTAAATTTTCATCACGAGCTGCTTAAACCAGCTGTTTCAGCGACAAAAAGGATCGCGTGGTCAAAATTGATAAATATCAAGCGTTCATTTTGGTCACGTGATCCTTTTTGTCACTGAAACAGCCGGTTAGAGCAGCTCGCGAAAATTTACCTTTAGGGCCTGCGCACAATAGAGGAACAAGAATTAGATATTAAGATTTCAACCTATCAGAAACCGTGTATTCCGATGTAATCAGTTTCTGATAGGTTAAAATCTTAATATCTAATTCCTGTTCCTCTATTGTGCTCAGGCCCTTAGATTAGAATAGTGTATACTCACTGACTAAAAGGTTGCAACACTTTTTTTTAATGGGTTTCGGAAAGCAACTGCTCACCGAGCGATTGGTTCTTACTTATGGATCCGTAGACAAGGACCAATGGGTGCATTCAGTACTATGACCGCTCACTGAGCGCTCTTGTATCTGTTTGGTCTATATTTTTAGATCTAATGGAATATGCCAATCAGATCCAAGAGCTCACTGGGCGCTCAGTGTACTGAATGCACCTAATCGCTCGGTGAATAGGCTGCATTCCGAAAACCATAGTAGAAATTCTGTTGCAACCTTTTAGTCGGCGAATGTACAACAGCAGACAGCTTTAATGTGCACTGAGTGTGTACTAGATCTGCCAATAAAAAACGCTATAAGATAAATTACATTAAAAATGATAATATAAAAAAAAATTAAGATTTGTTTATAAGAAAGTAATAAAACTTGTAACATCTATTCGACATTAAAAGCAGAAATGTAACGGAAGTTACTGAAATTCACATTATCTATTTAGACTAGAAATATCTATTTCAATCCGCTAAAGCAGGTATTGTAGATGCTGTTATCTTGCGGAACGATTAGAATCGATCAATAACTTTACAGTTTGCATTATTGACATATTTTATTATTTATATATATGTATACATATATATATATACACACACGCACACATGCACACACACATACCGAGTGTTCAAAATAAAGCATTACAAATTTTTATCTCGGAAACAAAGCATTTTAGAGAAAAACGTTTCATACAAAGTTTTGTAACCAAGAGGGAAACGATGAGGATGATTGGCTGCGTTCAGCAGAGAAAAGTTTTGCTGTTGTAAAATTCTTCAATAAGGTTGGTTTATACATTTAGATCCATAAGGAACTAAATTCATAAAGAACCAACCATATTAAAGAATTTTACATAATTGCAAAGTTGCTTTCTCTGCTGAACGCAGTCATTGGTTTGAGCTTGGGCGGTGTCAAGGTCAGAGCAAGATCACATAGAAGTTTTTGAATAAGATTGCCTATTTATTATTATCTACATATTCTCGTAGCTTATCTCGAGAGCTTTACAAAACACTATATTTTTTTATTAAATGATATGTTTTTCGAGGTATATAGCTTGAAAGTTGTAGTACTGCCGATATTAGCATTCTCTATAAGGTGTTCGGCCGACGACTAAAATCCTCTTGAATGTTGTTCAGGATTATGACTTTGATAACATTTATCAAAATCAAGGCCATTGGAGATTGTTTTTTTTAATGATTATTTTTATATAAAAACACCAAGAGAACGCTCCAGTGATTTCAATCCTAACAAATATTATCAAAGTCATGATCCTGAACAACATTCAAGAAGTTTTAGCCGTCGGTCGGATAAACTGTAATCTACAGGTTGTCGGTTCTATTTTCACCAATTATGTTGCAGCTAACCTGCATTCGCTGCATGATTGGTTAAAATAGAACCGACAACCAGCAACCGTAACGGCAAACTGTAGTGATTACGACCATATCTTGGGTAATGCTACACATACTGGCCATATTATAACTTTCAAACTGTATAACTCAAAGAATACTTGAAAAAATATTTTATTAGTGTTTTAAAAAGTTCTCGAAGAGAATACATAATATACGACAATATGTAATAAAAAATCTTGTTCAAAAAATTCTATGTAACCTTGCTTTGATCTTGACACCACTACCCAAGCTCAAACCAATATATAACTCATGTCCCCCTCAAAAATTTTGATTGAAACATTTCAACGCGTTAAAAACTTTTGAATTTGTATAAAACATTTTTTTCAAAAATACTTTGTTTCCAAGATATAAGTTTGTAACGCTTTATTTTAAACACCCAATATACTTTAAAAGAGAACGATATACATAGTCTCTTTTACATTACATTTAAAAATATTCTTATTCTAATAATTATTTTTATGCAATTTGAGTAAATTTAATCCGATCTATCTTTCTCAATTAAAAATAAGAAATGATTTTTTATATAAAATTTATTTTCGATAAATTCCATATAATAGGAATATCATAAAAAAATTTAATCTTAATCTAGTTTCTTATGACCCACGCATGAATTACAATTTTCGTAATACATAACAAGTTTACATATGCCCTTAGATAAATGTGTTCAAAATCGCAATGCAATTCAAACATGCATGTTATGATAGTAGATAGCAACAGTGTGAAGGAAAGATATATATATATATATATGTTGTATATAATACACATATATAACTTTATATATATATATGAGGCATTCTTTCTCAAACGGGCCACCCCTTCTCTCCATTTCAAATTTCAAACAAAAAAATTTTAGTACGGCTTAAATTAAAGGTGTCTACTTTTTAATGCCGTTGGGCCCTTTTTAAAATCAAAGTTATCAATGCATCGGTGACGTTTTTCTCAACTTTTCACGAAAATATCAAGGTTTACACTAGAAAATCTCAATAATTTTTTTTGGTAACTATTGATTTTAGAGAAAATTTCCTTAGAACAAAAATGTCCTAGAATTGGTTAAATACTCTAAAAATTTTTAAGATTTTTTGTAGACGTTTTTCAAAATTTCGATTTTCCGAATTTTCCAAAAATATAAAATTTTTTTTGTGTTATCGAAAAAAAAATTATTTTAACTTCAGACACCGAGTACGTCTAAAATCTATGTTGGATCTGCCATTTTCATTTTTATGACATAACCTTCAATTTCGTGAAGTCCACATCCAAATTAATATTTGAGGTCTTATAGAATTTTCAAAATCATATATTTCTCCTTCTTTCCAAAGAGAACTATAATTAAT